TAACTTTGAAAGAATACAACAGAAAGACAGACCAAGGCCAGTTGAACACTTTTACGGGGTTGAATTATAATAATTGGTTATCCAAAAATAGGTGTCATTTCGTCACTAGCAGTTTCCATGGCAACACTTTCATAGGCGTATTCAGACGTATTTTTTAGCTTGTGGCTTAAATAATTCGAAAACTAACCCGGTGACCTTGTGATTTTTTTCAGTGATTGCTTTTGGCACTTGAAAAGGAAAATGCACAAAGATTTTTAAAAAATTCTATGGAGCGGAATTTCACAAAATCTAGAAAAAAGGCAATTTCACACATAGCAAATTTTCTTCCGTAGAATTTTCTAATTTTTTCTCTGATGATTCCTTTTGACGTTATTATCATATTGGAACAATAAAAAGAAGGGGTCACCGGACTTGTTTCCATTCAATAGCTTTCGTGAGTTTAGCAATTTCCACGCGCGTTCTCGCGCATTTAAAAGTCTGGATTCTATAAGATCGACATTTGCTCGTGATCTGTTTTAGCTACCGCTGACAATTGCATGTGCTTGCGTGAGCACCTACGATCTGATGTTTACAGACGTTTACTACTAAGAAAATCATTAAACAGCCGTCAAAGACAGCCTCCCGAGCTGATCTTAAAAATCCTACACATGACTTCTGGCTATATCATATAATTTTCCTTGAAGTTTCAAAGTCTTCTTCCACTTCGATCAGGTAGATTATCCTTCACTTGAGTTCTTCTTTCTTCGCCGTCGCAAGATTTCATATCGGTTGAATATTTTTTTAAATGTAAAGTGAAGCAACCTTTACTTCCCTGAAAGTCGTCTTCTTTATCTTAGTTTCTATCTCCTGCATTGGCAGTGGCCGCTCAACACATCAAGTACAAGCTCTTAGGTAAATTTCTCACAAAGTAGAAAAAAATCCTTGCGCTGCCATCTTTGTTTTAAATTTTCGTCTTTTAATCTCATGCTTCTTTCGCATGTTTCTCTCGCACGTGACGCAAGAGTTATCTGTTCCTCGTGCGAAGAAACTGGTACGAGCCACCTTAATTTCAGCAATTGTACAAGGTAAAAAGAAAAAAGAAAAACAGGTGGCTTTTTAACTTTTCAAAAATTTTACCATTTTAGTCCTGATCTAATGTTACTATAGTTTCAAGTGTGAGCCCCAGAGAGTAACTGTCTAGTGCATAAGTTTTTCAACTCACACTGTCC